TCATGCACATTTGTCCATTTTTTATTGTCACAGCCTGGTAAGGACATTTTTCAAGGGCGCAGTTTTGAAAGCTCGCACCGGGCGCCTAGAAGGCTAGTTACGGCACTGTGTAGGGGTGAGCCTATTGCCATATACCGAGCACAATTCCAGACTCCGTGCGACTACTGAGAATTTTTCAACAGGTAGTTGAAACCTGTAGGTCGTTGACCGAGTGGACGTAAGTGTGACTGCTCGAACCGAACCCGAGGCCCCTTGCTCGGCGGCGAGGGGTCTCAGGTTCGACTCTTGGGTCGGGCAAAGTACTACTTACTTACTGTTTTTATAATAACTATCGTTGGACATACTAAATTAACTAACTCGTTAGGTTACTCACGTGAATATACTGAGAAAAGCTCTACTAGTTTCGAACCACAGAGGGGCTCTTCCTCATGAGCAGCGTGCGCGGTCCCGCAGCCTACTACTACTTAGGTACTGATGTTTTTTTTAATATTTTTAGTAACCATAACTATTATTTTGTTATAAGGGTAATATAGGACTAGTTTAGGGCATGTAAAACCGGTTTTCCGGTTTTGCGCAAAACCGGAAATCGGCCAAAATTTTACGATTATTGAAAACCGGTTTTGAGAGCCAAAACCGGAGCTCAGCTCCGGTTTTCCCATTATTAAGTAACAATTACCGTAAAATGGGGTGAATAGGGACAAATCTGAACTTCATAAAGAAAGTTAGGCGTTTTTTTATAGAAAATTTGCTGTAAGGCGATTGTAATAATTGAGTCGTGGTGGTATCTTTGTGATCAAACATAAATTATGTAATTAGCATTTCAGTTTATGCATAAAAAAGCTAAAATATAGCCTATCCCTATTCACCCAGAAATTGGGGTCAATCGGGACGAAAATAAGGCCAATAGGGAAATTCTCTAGGGCTGCCACTTGTGTAGGTACCTACCTAATAAATTATAATTTATAGCTAACTACCATTTTTTTTTGTATTTTAATTTATTCTACATTATTACTTATTGCCACTATGTAATTCTTACATAATACTAGTTTCTGATTATTTATTAGCTATTTCGTCACTGAAATAAAATCCACTTTTACTTCCATTATTTATTTAATCAACAAATCTTTTGCAAATTATTCATTAACATTTAACGATTATTATTCACTCAGAACAAATATTTATGTATTTTTCTGCTTCATCACTTAGTGCTCTTTGTCCACCTTGAGTCTTCATTGTTCTCATCACATGTAGATCACATGCAAAACGGATTTAGCAATAATAAATTGTTTAGCTACTTCAACTAGAGATTTACTTCCAGTTTCATACGTTTCTACAGCAGTTTTTAATATAAGGTGATCATACCTCTTATAAGGTTTTGTACTTTTTGAGGTATACACGCGAGGCATATCTGAAAAAATAAATTTGCATTATTGTATATACAAATTTCTACTCAATATATCAACACTAAAATAAACTTTCGGCTCCGCCCAGAGCAGGAGGAGTGGTTTAATAATTTCCCACCCAAAAAAAAAATGTACGTATTAAATGTGACAGCCAGTGTTCGTCAGTAACGTTGTCAGCCCAAGAAATAGGGGACAAGCCTACTACCGGACACAATGTCGGACTCCGTAAAATATATCAAAATTCCAACAAAACTTGGCCCGACTCGAGACTTCATGGTCAGCAGTTGCACTTGCAATCACTAGATTAACGACGCAGTGTAATACCTCGCTAATTTATGAAATAAAAAAATATTATTACCTAGATTACACAATTTAAAAATGTTAAGTCTGCTTAGTGACAACCCTATAAGGCTGTACCTATTCATACATAAGTCGTTCCTATTCATCCCATCCTCATCCCGATTAACCCCGCTTTCGTTGTGATTCATACCTGAGACGTCCCCATTCACCCCAAAAAATACAAATTTCGCATGCCATTCTAAAATTCTAAATTATAGTCATATTAATTAATAACTGATGCTTACCTTTCGTGCATATGACGGCCCAAATCCTAAATAAGGTATAAAACCAACACTCGTATTCGCTTAATACAAAATAACCTTTACACAGCAAAGTTTTATACACTGTAATAACCGATATCTTGTTTATACTATTTTGAATTGACATTTTTAACAGTTTGCAGCTGATTTTACACTTGTTCAATGTTGCCGTAGAAAAGTTCCAATAACCTACTATTATCCCTCAAAAAATGGTAAAAGTTGGAACGATTTGCAAACTAGCATTTAGTGTTAAAAATGATGCCTGGTTTTTTCCCTATTCACCCCTGGATCCCTATTCACCCCATTTTACGGTAACATTTTGTTTTAATCAAATTTTTTTCAAACACTCTTACAAAAATAATTAATATTGAGGCATTAAATGTATCCGAACCGAACACAGCCTGCATCCACCCATTTTTACGCCTCCCTCCACTACCCCCGCCTGATGCTTAACTAAATGAAGTGCATTTTCGTAGTCGATAAAACATATTATCAGCACGTCCGTTTGCATTTCTCTGCATTTTTGAAGAGATGGAGATTCTGAGATCGTTGAGGGCGAATAAAGCTTCACGGGTGCCTACACCAGAATGAAATCCGAATTGGCTGTCTCCCAGTTGTTCGTCACACTTTACTCTTATTCTGTTCTGTATGATGTTTAAGAACACTTTTAGGACATCTCTCATTAGACTCATCATCTGGTACTCTCCATATTTTGTTGCATTTTGTTTTTTGAGTATTGTAATGAACGTAGACTTTAGCCAGTCATGTGGAAGAATGCCAGTTTCGTAAATGTTGTTGAAGAATTGGTCAAATACTTCCTCCAATAGCTTGAGAATCTCGATGGGTAATATGGGTATGTTATCTGGTCACGTAATATCTCCGATTTTAAAATAGTTGGACCCGTGTCATCAGTAATTATTTGGATATTTCTTGATGGGTCTGCGAACATCTCCGAGCCTGCACCCGCAGTTGATTATTGATCTCTTTTTTAGTGCAATATGAATCATATTATAATAATATTATTTTGTAGTTTGTCTTCAAAGTTACAAAAATAATGTTTTTTTTTTGGTAATTGTGGCTGGCTGTATTTAATATTTAAAGATGCTACTTGTGTTTTCTATGTTTAAAATATATTATTTTTGATAGCAGACTTAATAGGTTCCAAAGATACCAAAAACTTATTTGTTGTTGATTTGATCTCAGTTAAATAATTTTTATCTATACTAATATTATAAAGAGGAAAGATTTGTATTTTTGTATGTTTTGGACTTTTTTAAAAATAATGTTAAGCATTATTTTTAAAAAAGTCCGCGAGAGAATATGTCTACCTTTTATAGTTTACCCATAACAATCGTTTTAATGAATGGTTCAATCCTTATAAAAGTTTGCTCTAGATAACTTTTGAATTGTTCAATCGGTTACCTTAAGACGCGACATCGACTACGGAGGGCAGGTCGCTAAAAAAAAACTGAGAATAAATATAAATAAAACGTAAAACTATGTAAAAAACGAAGCCGGGACGGGCCGCTAGTACATTATAAGTTCATTGTTATCTGTACAATTATTATGGTTTGGATGTAAAAGAAGTGAATCACACAATTTGTTTTATTTGTAGACTTAGTGGGTATTTAAAAAAAACGGTTTTCTTTTTTAAATTAACTACATTGGATTTTTTTGATAAAACCGGACCTAGCTCCGGTTTTCGGTTTTGGTACCAAAAAAACGATGTTCAAAACCGGTTTTGATGACTTTCCGGTTTTACATGCCCTAGACTAGTTAAATTAAAAATAGCAATAGTTAATAAGAAAATATCAAAATACAGAGTGGGCAAACTTCACAATGATAATTTTTTCTATGGTTAGTACTGGGTACTGTACATAAAATGTCTTATAGCGATTTTCTCTACATATGTATGTATATTTTTTTTGTAGAATATGTAGTAGGCAAAGGGCAGACTGATCAACTGATGGTAAGCAACACACTACAGACGTCGCAGGTGCGTTGCCGGCCTTTAAAAAATGCTAATCTGTTAAATATATTTAGGTAACCAACTTGGTTCGGTGATGAGCTGATTAAGAGATTTATATCATTATTATTTTTACTGTTTCTACAATTGGCTTTGATGACACACGAGGATAGTTGCATATTTTCTGAACCTATTGTTGCTGTTACTGCTAATTATGTAATTGATTAATGCTTCAGAATAATAACATTTTACCTAGATACATTTTAACTCGTCGAGTACCGGTTTTATAGACACAATTAAAGAACAATAGGTCGCGGTCACCGGTGACCGCTTGGTGTTTGACAGATTAATGTATCTGTGAAGTTTTGAAAATCGGATTATGCAGAGGTCTGCACACACCTCTACTTAGGTAAGTAGAGATTGTGTGTGTGAAGTTTCACAACACAATACAACAATACAAAAACAACATTGAGTTGTGTCAGTATCATTTCTAAAAGTGCTGTGTATAAAAGGTTCATTTTATATAATGTATTTTTAGTGCACATCTTCAAATAGAGTACTAAGGGACTGTTTCACTTTATCCGGATAGCCATTAGCTACCAGATTAAGAATGTAATTTGTATGAACAATGCAACATATGGAGCTAGTGAAACTGGTGCTAAATTTATTATGTTTATAGTTATACTCCAACAAAATTTGATTTATTTCTTTATATAGATGGATATTTTGTGTCTACAAAATAGTAAAATAAACATTTTGTCTTCCTAGTTTAATTGAGGTACTTGATAGGTTAAATACACCTGTAACACTAGCGGTATCACCAGTGCTTCTCTAGTGTTGGGTATACGGCTGAGGAGCTGATCGTTTACCATACGGTGATGACTGCTTTTTACGTCCCATTACATAAACAAATAGTTTTCTATACTAGATAGAATAGATCAGGTGTTTCATTACAATGGTATCACTCATTCTCTTCTATTTACTTAATATTGTGTAATATTAAAACAACAATGTTTAAACACATAAAATTTATTATAACCGTTTCCTTTTCTTATTTTTCGATCGTTTCTTAGTATTTTTCTTGCCAGTTTTGTTGAGTTTCGCGATTTTTCTCTTGTGAAGCCACACTGGGTACTGCCCGTTCTGATCTTTAAGCGTTTTCGTGCTGAATACTCTCTTCTTGCCCTCGCCATCAACAACCACTTTTTCGTCGTCCGAACTCATTTCTACATCCTCATCAGCCTCTTCAGTAATTTCCTTTTCCTTTTTTTTCTTATTCTTCTTTTCTGCGTCCTTCTTCAAGGCTCCAGCGTCAAGAAAAATTACTTGATCCGATTCCATAACCTCATCAGTGGTGGTTTCTGGTTTTTCTTCATCTTTTACGCCTAACATCTTCTTTAGTCGCGCTAATTCTTTCACAGCATAACGTTCGCGCTTTATAGCTCTGCATTTTCGCTTCCAACGGCTTCTAAGTGATTTAGCCATGGTATTTAATAAACAAAAATATTTTTACACGATGTGCTTTTTGACGGAAAGCACATGAAGGGATGAAAGATGAAATGACACTAATGTCAAAATAGAGTAGTGTGGTCAGTTTATTCTTAACTGGTCCATGTTAATACTAGTAATTTTTCAGCTTTCCGTATTTAATTTTTATATTTTTGTTTAATTACCTTCACTACTAAGAGTAATATGAAAATTAATGGAGCATTGCTAAAAAGTTAACATTTAAAGCTAAAATCATTTTTCAATATTTCTTTGGGTTCCATTTTCATTTGATTGGCAACACCAAGATAGGGTTTTATAAAACCGTAATTTTGCTTCAATTTCGAAGTTTTATCGGTTTTCTGTGCTGTTAGAAAATACTAAAACATAATATCATGAGGGCAATTTCTAATTTATGTTAAAATACTTCGTATTATTTACGTTTATAACGGTAACAAGTATTGTTTGTTTCAGAATAACATATTTATTTTGATTTTTTTTATCGATTTAATAATGCATGTTCAATGAATCGACTAAAAACCTAAATCAATAAACCAAACAGTGTTGTACGACAACAGCTCTATTTGTTTTCTTCCTGCCCGAGTTTTACGATTGTGATTATTTTGTGATTACTCCAAATAATATTTTTTGGAATTGATCCAAAATATTAAAATCGTATCTGTTTGTGTGTACACAGTGGTTGAAGTCGTCGCTTATATGTGACTCTTTCGTTTTCCTTTGTCTCATGGAGTTTGCTTTACATCCATTTTAATTTTTATCGATGTGAAGTGGTTTGTGTATATTGTTCTTCTGTGATTATTTTTACGAACAAGTTTTAACTATGGAAATTGAAGTCCCGAGTCCTGAAAACGGGCCGAAACAGGATCTCAATGACAGCGGATGCGTCCAGGATAGTAAGTCGTCGATAATTCATATTATTTATTATCAAACTTGGTTAATAATAACAACAATTTTTTTATCATTGTTTGGGATACAGACGCGTTGATATTCCGATTTTAATGTCGGGGACTATAATGACTTTCTTCCTGTAAAGTCCCTTGAAGGGCGTCCAATTATTGCTGATCGCTTTGTGCTTTTTTATAAATAAAAGTACCTATGGTTGAACTCAACTTTTTTGAATGTCTATTTCGTTTTCGTTATTCATATTATATTGTTGTTTATATTCAAAATGTACATTTTAAAAAATTCGTATTGATATGGAAGAGTCATTCTAGAACAAAGAAAAATTCCTTAGGTACCTATATTTATAAAAATAGAATCCAACCAATAACATTCTGTAAAGAATCAGCCAAATCTCGATGGAGCAGCTTGTTCATCTCTAAAAGTAATGAAATCTAGACAAAGTCGCGCCAGGTCTAAGGTCCTTACTTACTTTCATATAACTTTGAAACTAAAGGACCTAAAAACTTAAAATTTTGGATTCGAAGTATGTGATTATAGCTTATTGAATGATGAAGATTTCTGTGTTCTGGTCGTGTTCAGAGGTTCCTATATAGGGACCTGAAAATGCATTAAATTGGTACCAGTAAAAGATGATACAGCGGTGTTTGCTTTGTGCTCGACTTGGCAGTGTCCCCAAGTATTAGTCCGTTGCATAGTTTTGGATAATATAGCATACAAAGTGATAGACAAAAGAAAGCCACTTTGTTTTATTTAATACTATGTAGTGATGACTGATGTGATGATAAACTACTTTCTATTAACTAATAGAAAATGATACCCTATTACCCTCCGGCTTGCTGTGTAACATAACATTACTCGTTTTATCCCCGAAGGGGTAGGCAGAGATGCATATGCCACTGTACAATGCAACACCCACTTTTCACTATTTATGTTATGAGTCCCACGTAATAGGGGGTGAGCCTATTGCCATATACCGGGCACAATTCCAGACACCATGCAACTACTGAGATTTTTTTAAATACTCAGTCGTACTTTGCTCGACCTGGGAATCGAACCCAAGAACTCTTGCCCGGCAGTCGCACTTGTGACCACTCGGCCAATGAGGCAGTCTTCTTGCTATATCTAGACAAATAATTCAATAGTTCAATAGGAATTATAGTTCAGTAGTTGCTGTTGCACTGTTTCATGCACAGCTCGGCTCCTCTTTGTTGTAGTGTGATATGTTATAGCCTATAAGCCTTTGTTGATAAATGGACTAATCAAGACCAAAAGAAGTTTTCAAATCAGATCCATAGTTCTAGAGATTAAAGCATTTAAACAAACAAACAAGCTGTGTTTGTATAATAACTATTGTGAGACATGCTAGATCACAGAATCACAGATATATTAAAGATTTCTGTGTGCTAATATTTCTGTTTGTTTTTTTACACTATTTCTGTGTGCTAGATTTTTTTTTTTTAATGGGGGAAAATCATCGAATGACTGCTCCCGCCTGGGTGAGGCGGAAGGGTGTGTCATACTCTCCCTGATTTACTGCTAGATTAACTAAAAATCGCAGTGAAAATATTGAGAAAATCTCTACTAGTTTCGAACCACAGAGGGGTTCTTCCTCATGAGCAGCGTGAGCGGTCGCGGCGATGTCGCATAGCCTACTCAGTATTTTCACGAGAGTAACCTGCGATTTTTAGTAAATAAACAAACAATACAATAACAATAAGACTGCCTCGTTGGCCGAGGGTTCGATTCACGGGACGGGTAAAGTATTATTGGGTTTTTAAAAAGTTCTCAGTGGTAACACAGTCTGGAATTGTGCCCATGCTGCCGATACGAACTAAGTGGAAGCATTACTTAACTAATACGGTTAACAAATCGTCACTCGACATAATAAAATACTTTTCGGAAATTCCCCCAATAAAAGTAAAATTAGCTTTACTTTTGATCACTTCACTAAGTGATCATGCGAATGGAATGTTGCACTACTAAAGAATAATAAATTATACCAAATATTGAGTATATGTTTTGACAATAATATTATCGAATTTCCAAACTATTTGTGTATAAAACTATTTTGCAATTAAATTGTGTGTCGTGGCCCGCATGGCATCAAGACGCAGGCCGCATGAGGCACACCTCTTGATAGTTATTTTAACTAAACTGACCACATCATTAGTTAATGAATCGATACTTAATTGGTTATTTCTTGTCACGTAATGATATATTAATTAAACAAGTTATATTTTAACATATCTTGACGGCACGGTTGGTGCGGTGTGGCTGGGCAACCGGCTGCCTCGCAACGTCTCGCGGGCTCGATTCCCGCACAGAGCAACTCTTTGTGTGATCCACAAATTGTTGTTCCGGGTCTTTGTTTTTAGTGCGTGGGTGTGCGTGGTGGTGGAAATCGTCCAATGACTTCTCCCACCTGGGTGAGGCGGAAGGCAGTGTCAGACTCTTACTGACTAAAATCCACCTCCTATTCCTGCTCTTCGAGCCGGAGCCCCGGTAACCCGTCAGGCCTTCCGCTTCCGGGTCTGAGTGTCATGTGTATACGAACTTGTATGTTTGTAAACGCACCCACGACACAGGAGAAAATGTTAGCCTGGGCTAAAGTTAAAAAAAAATCAATGTATTAATTTACTTTCTTTTTAACACCTAACTGGTGTCCTTCGCGATGTGGCTGGGTTGCGAGGAGGCAGCGCTCCGCTGCCTCACGCGTCCCGCCTCCTCCTTAGCTAACTAGGCCTAAGTATCTAGAACGCCAGGTTACAGAGGGACTCCTCGAGATAAGCGTGCCTCAAAGAGCCTTCAGACCACCACGTATGGGGCCCAATAGGGCTGATGCCGATACGGAGCCGAGGAGGTTTTAACGGGTTGCCGGGGCTCCGGCTTGAAGGGCAGGAGTAGGAACGGCGTGGTTTTTAGTTAGTAAAAGTCTGACTCTCCCTCCGGCCTCACCAAAGGTCTATATTTTTCTCCATCCCCATTCCTAACTAAGGAATGCTACATACTACCTACTCCTGTGGAGTTCCACCTGCTCCGATCGGCTTCTATTGATCGTAGCTTGATTCAGAAGGCTAATGGCTGTAATGTTTCAATCTCGGTGAACGCAAATCAAATTAATACTAAACCATCACCCGGGCGGGAGAAGTCATTCGATGATTTTCCCCCCTTAAAAAAATACCTAGTTATAATTATTCACTAGCTTTTTCCCGCGGCTCCGCTCGCGTCACAAAAGGATAAAAAGTAGCCTTTGTGACTATCCATCCGTTCAACTACCTTCAGTTAAAAATCACGTTAGTTAGTACCTCCGTTCTGCCGTTTAAGACAGGCAAACAAACAAATAGCTTTCCGCTCGTGTGGAATTCGGTTATATCGCGTTATTTAGATTTTTCCAATAAGTAGGTAATTCGTTGACTGGTTTTAGATGACATACAACGCCACCTATACCAGTACATACAGCGCCATCTATAACAATATTTTTGTTTTTCATAGGAAATATATTTTTTTTCCGGGATAAAAAGTACCCCATTATTTAATCCAGACTTCTAACTTTACGTCTGCAAAATTTCAAAGCAATCGGTCTAGTAGTTAAGGCGTCAAGGCGGAACAAACAAACACTCACTTTCCGATTTATAATATAAGTACCTAAGGAAAGGAATAAGTAAGGATTTAAGCTCATTGTAGGTGTACCATATTCTCTATGAGTTAATAAAAAAAATCATGAAACCTATGAAATTGTTTATTTTACAGCATCACTGCCTGATAACGGGTATGTTAGCAACGTAAAGTTCCTGGATCTGTCCGATGATGCTCTCCTCTACATCTTCAAGTACTGCGATCCGATGACCTTGAAAGCCGTCGGATAGTAAGTAGCTTCATTTTTTTAACACGTTTTTATCTGGTCTTCCTGGGTACTTACTCTTGAAACCATTCTCAATGTCAATGCAATTTCAATCCTTCAAAGTCTCAATAATTATTCAATGTCAAAACTATACAACCCCTATCGTAGCTGTTACAATAGCATTCAGAGTACGGAATATAAAGCCAAACTCAACCATTTCGTTCATTCAATATCCACGCAATACGGATGCAATGGGCGCTAGTGTTGCAATTCAAGAGTACGAAATTTTACAATATCAATGTCGATCGGTCGGAATTGGATTCAAGAGTAAGCCCCATGTACCGAGCTATGTATTAAAATCTAAGAATTTCAATTACACATACTTCTAATAGGGTAGATCCTAAGTTTTTTTTTATATGGGCAAAGCCGGTAAACAAGTAGACGGATCACCTGATGGTAAGCAATCGGCGTCGCCCATGGACACACGGAACACCAGAGGCGTTACAAGTGCGTTACTGGCCTTTTGGGGATTAGAGGATTGTTAGAATTTGAGGATTGTTGTGGATTTAGGAATTGAGGAGATTGGGGAAGGGGGGGATTCCCCGATCTCCTCAATCCCTGAATTGGGCCTCCCTTAACTAACTCACATGACGAAACAACGCAAGCTTTGTTTCACGTCGGTTTTCTGCTCGGCCGTGGTATCGCTCCGGTCGAGCCGGCCCATTCGTGCCAAACCTAGTCAGCCCATACCTTGCCTGTCTATCAAATTTCATCAAAATCCGTTCAGTAATTTCAGCAAAATGGAGAAGAATGAGCAAGTTACTCCATTCGTTACAGTTTTAAAAAAAGTATATTTTGCAATCTCTTAGATACATGTTCTTACTGTCAGTCAAAAACCCTTTTGCAACCCTTAGCGGATTAACCGCGGATGGCTTAACGAATTGCCGGGACTCCGGTTTTGAGTGCAGGAGTAGGAACGGGGTGGTTTTTAATCAGTAAGTGTCTGACACTCCCGCTCGTTTTACCTGGGAGTCAGAAGTCATTGGATGATTTAGCCCCATCAAAAAAAACCCTTTTTTAAGGGGGGAATATCATCGAATGACTGCTCCCGCCTGGGTGAGGCGGGAGGGAGTGTCAGACTCTTACTGACTAAAAACCACCCCGTTCCTTCTCCTGCACGTCGAGCCGGAGCCCCGGTTACCTGTTCGGTTCTCCGCGACAAAAAAACCCCTTAGCGGATGATAACACTTCATCATGATAACCTTTTTAGCATTTGTCCACGGCTCGGAGCGTTAGTTTGTGATCGGACTCTGTGGCAGCGCGTGGACGCTAGAACTACGCCGATGGGCAAGAAGCGAGTTCGATGGATGCTTAACAATTGCCTCACGGATAGCACTACTGAGCTCAAGATATCTGGATACGCTAACAAGTTTAGCAGGTGAGTAATGTACACACGGCTACACATCGAGCTAAGGGGAGGGTAATTTGGCCTCCGGTAACCTCACTCACAAGACGAAACACAACGCAAGCGTTGCTTTACGTCGGTTTTCTGTGAGGCCGTGGTATCACTCCGGTCGAGCCGGCCCATTCGTGCCGAAGCATGGCTCTGCCACACTTATTTTTTTTTCTTTCCTCACAAATTCAATATTTTCGACGATGATTTGAAATATCATGTGACGTCACGTGCGCGTTTACGTGCTATGTGCTATGCTAGCAGCGTGCTACAAAATGTAGCATGCTGCATGCTGTAACGACCTCCCACTCCTAAATTTAATTTATGGTTTTATCTAAGTATTGTAAATTTATACGAGAAAATAAAAAAATACGTGTCTAATATTTTTTCATTATCTAACCGACGGACTAAATAGATTTTTAATTTTCATACCCTGACTGCCTCGTTGGCCGAGTGGTTGCAAGTCCGGGCAAGGGGTCTCGGGTTCGATTCCCGGGTCGAGCAAAGTATCTATGGTTTTTAAAAAAAATCTCAATTGTAGCACGGAGTCTGGAATTGTGCCCGGTATATGGCAATAGGCTCACCCCCTGTTACATGGAACTCATAACATAAATAGTGAAAAGTGGGTGTTAATTGTACAGTGGCATTAAGTGGCGCAATGTGCACCCAGGCAACTACCCTATTGTTTTCTTATACGACAAAATAAAAAAAGTACGTGTCTAATATTTTTTCATTATCTAACTGACGGAATAATTAGTTTTTAAATTTGCGTACCCCGTCATCATCCCTATTATAAGCTTTAACTAAATATATTGTTGCCAGATGCCTGGGCATTCAAGACCTGCAATGGCCTGTTCCAGCTAAATCGAGTAAGTTTTAAATCAATGTCACACTCATAATTTTGATTTCGATAGACGTATCACCTGATGGTAAGCAATCGGCGTCGCCCATGGACACACGAAACACTAGAGGTGTTAGAAGTGCGTTACCATTTGGGGATTAGGAATTTGAGGATTATTGGGGATGGGGCGATTGGGGATATTGGGGAGTGGGGTAATCGGGCCTCCGGCAACGTCATTTACACGAGGGAACAAAACACAAGGGTTGTTTCACGTCGGTTTCCTACTCGGCCGTGGTATTACTCCCATAGAGCCGGCCCATTCGTGCCGAAGCATGGCTCTTCCACACATTTTTTTATGGCATAAGCCGGTAAACGAGCAGACGGATCACCTGATGGTAAGCAATCGGCGTCGCCCATGGACACACGGAACACCAGAGATTAGGAGTTTGAGGATCGTTGGGGATTCAGGGATTGGGGAGATTGGGGAAAGGAAGGGTAGTTGGGCCTCCGGTAACCTCACTCACACGACGAAACACAACGCAAGCGTTGCTTCACGTCGGTTTTCTGTGAGGCCGTGGTATCACTCCGGTCGAGCCGGCCCATTCGTGCCGAAATATGGCTCTTCCACAATTAAATTTTTCAAAGGTATTCCTCAGTTAAAATGTATGTGGCGTTGGAAATATCGACCCTAAATAATCTAGTAACAGAGGTTAATTCAAAATACCATGTTGTTTTCATGTTTTGATTTTGACTTTGACTTTCAGCTGGCATCGACGTCGAGCATTTCTTACTGCGTATGTGGTATCCTCATTTACCTCGGTAAGTCATTTGATTATATTATTAGGCTATTCTTTTTCGCATATTAAATAATAATTATATTTATATTAAAACCTAAATTAATTATCATGTTTTCGGCTTATTCACGTAAGTGTTTGACTCAGACCTCGACTAGTTTCAAGCCATGCTAGAGGCTCATATTCATAAGCAGCATTCCGCGACAGTCACCGCGTTACGTGAGTAAGCCGAAAACATAATAACTAATTAATAATTAGTTTACACGTAACTGTTTGAGGGTGCTCGACTAATTTCAAACTACAATCGGGGCTCATTATCATAAATAGCATGCTGGATATTGGTCTTTATTTTATTTAACAACTAGTTACTTTGGCGCGGTCTCACACGCTCTGCTTAGCTCCTATTGGTCGTAGCGTGATGTTTTATAGCCTATAACCTTCCTAGGTAAATGGACTATCTAACACAAAAAGGATTATTTAATTCGAATCAGTAGTTTCGGAGATAAGCGCGTTCAAACAAACAAAGTCTTTAGCTTTGTATAATGCGCCTGTCAGACTATACGTCTTCGCGAGACGATCTCCGGCCACCGTAAGCACGGGCCTGCGGACGGCCAGCATGATGGCTGATGCCGATGGCTGATGCCGATGAGGGCTGATGCCGATACGGAGCCGCGGAAGACTTAACGGGTTGCCGGGGCTCCGGCTCGAAGTGCAGGAATAGGAACGGGGTGGTTTTTAGTCAGTAAGAGTCTGACACTCCCTCCCGCCACACCCGGGCGGCAGAAGTCATTGGATGATTTCCCCGTTTAAAAAAAAATACCACTAGTCCACCACTAGTATGGCAGGCGCATAATAAATATTAGATTCTGGTTGGTCGAGTAGTCGCTATGCTACCGAGCGAGGGATCTCGGGTTCGATTCCCGGTCAGTGTTACATTGTATATGTGCAATTGTGCATCTCTGGCTCTACCCTAAATTCGAAATAAAGGGCATGATTGTTATACAGAGCGTAAATGGAAAGGTCCCGATAAATGTCGACAGGTGATGGTAAAGAACAATTTCCATTTTAATAAAAGTAAGGATTGAATGTTTTTTTTATGTAACAATACTTGGAATCAACTGTTCAAGGCTAATGTTGTATGAATAATACGAAAACAGAAAATTGGGTACTTTGCTTAATCAAAAATAAATTATCTCGACTCTTCAATACAATAGAATAACACACTTTCATTAATTAATTTTTTTTAACCAACTTAATTTTCATACTTTTTCAGCTACTTTTTAAGAAATAAGTATTAAAAATAAACACGATTTCATTAATTGATTTTATGACCAATTTAATTTTAGTATTTTTTCAGCTAATTTTTAAGTAATAACTACGCTGTTTGACGCTAAACAATCGTGACGTCACAATACACAATCTCGTACAAAATTTATAGAAGACTGTCGTTTTTAGCAAGTACCCAATTATTTTCGGGACCCTTCCGTTTAATATTTATGGCGTTAATATGCTTGTTTTTGCTTTGTGATGTATTTGCATGACTTTAGATAGAGAGTGGGGGTTTGATTCCAGCTTCAGAATTCTTCCTCCTGAGAATTTCGAAAAACGCATACGAAGAGAATTGAACCTAGATCCCTTGCTCGGTAGTCTTATTTTTATATTACAAAAGTATTATTCGGTCTTTGATATTGAGATTCTCAGCATGTTGTTGTTATGTATGGTATTTTACTAATAGATAATGGCTCTGCTTACCCCCTGGGAATAGCAGGCGTGATTTTATGTTGTACTCAAAACTTATAGTTAGTTTAAAACTGAAGATATCGAAAAAACTAATAATTAGACTGACACGACCAAAAACGACACCAGCGCCCTCTAGCCAACGCAAAAACGCGGTCTAACCCTCACTTCGTAGTATATTATTTGGTAACTTACTCATAATTTTAATTATTATATTAATACTAACTTCTGCCAACGGCTTCGCTCGTGTTCCTTTAGAATAAAAATAGCCTAAGTGTTGTTATTCCAAGCCACAATCTATCCCTATAAGAAATAAGAAAGACAAAACTGTACATTTAAAATAATACTCGAATTGTGATCTACAATCGATATGGAAGCCGAAATATATAGTCATTAGAATTTTTGTCTGTATGTATGTATGTCTGGGCTAACCTCAAAAAGTGCTGCATGAATGTTGTTAAAATATTATATGAATACTTCCAGGATGCTTACTCTTGATACCAATCTCAATGTCAATGCAATTTCAATCCAATATAATCTCAATAATTATTCAAAGTCAACATTATACAACCACAATCGTAGCTGTTACAATAGCATTCAGAGTACGGAATATAAAGCCAAAAACAATACCATTTAGTTCATTCAATATCCACGCAATACGGGTGCAATGGGCGCTAGTGTTGCAACTCAAGAGTACGACACGATATCAATGTCAATCGATCGAAATTGGATTCAAGAGTAATCCCCTAGGTATATTTTATTTTATTCCCCTATTTTTTGAGGAGGGGGGGAATGATCCAATGGCTTCTCCCGCCCTGGGTTCTCGAGAGAGAGTGTCAGACTCTTACTGAGTAAAAACCACCCCGTTCCTACTCCTGCTCTTCGAGCCGTAGCCCCGGCAACCCGTTAGGCCTTCCGCGGCTCCGCATCGGGGATATATTATGGCATGGAAATACACATAGACTACTTTTTATTCTACGGGAATGTGAGCGAAGCCGTTGGCAGAAGCTAATAGAAGTTATATATTAACAAGTTGTATATATTATATTATTATTATTACATTTTCATGCTTCTGATATAAAGAAGAGATATAATTCTGGCCAATCTCGCTGAACAAAGCTACCAACGGCTGCAGTTGTAAGTTTGTTTATATAACGTATTACTACTGAACTGTCGAAACTCATTATCCGATACTTAGATATCCGGGTTGTTAAGGATTGGATTTCCGATACTACTACGTCAAAGGTCAAAAGTCTTCTGCCACCGTGAGTGATGTTCACACGGTAATGCGTAAGTAATTTTATATTAATGTGCATAAAAACGCGTGCGTACGCATAAACACACGCACGCGTACGCACACGTATAAAAATATGCGTGTGCATGTGTGTATAACCGATAGTAGTCTTACGATGGCAGTGGACTTTTGACCTTTGACCGTACATACAGGCAAATAGAAAATAATTCTTATTTTTATCCACCTTTTAATCATTCGCTATAGAAGTTTTGGTCAATTTCTATGTGTACTGAAACTAACCGAATGATAAAGAAATGAAAGGCGAGATAGTAATCAAACGTCTAAACGTCCCCATCAGATATAATCTATTTTTATGCAGAACGGATCTCACCAAAATAGAGATCAGTTGTTCAAACATGGTGCGTAAGATTTTATTCCTCTTACCAGTTCAAGATAATCGGATATCCGAACTATGCGTATCGGATTCCCAAACCATGCGTATCGGATATCCGAACCACGTGTATCGGATAATAGTTTCCACAGCTCAAATATAATTTTGGTATATAGGTAATAATTGAAATTATTTCCGTATAATAAATATCTAAACATAACATCACGCCTTGTTATTCCCTGGGGCTGGCAGAGTAACATAACATAACATCACGCCTCTTATTACCGAAGGGGTAGGTAGAGGTGCACATTACAGCACTTAATGCGACTGTACAATGTAACACCCACTTTTCAATATTTATATTATGAGTCCCATGTAATAGGGGGTGAGCCTATTGCCATATACCGGGCACATTTCCAGACTCCGTGCTACTGCTGAGATTTTTAAAAACCCAGTAATATTTTGCCCGTCCCGGGAAGGCAGAGTAGGAGAGTAATATTTTTTTATTTCAATTAGTCTAATATAGAGCACTTTTGGACGTCAAACAAGATTATGGTGTTAGTCTTTGGGTACGTCTTCTAGTTACTCTATTTGCTCTTTAAACACGAAGAACGAGCTAGAGACCGTTAGTTATATAGTTACTCTTTTCAGTCGATTTCTGGGTTATATTATTAAACGACAGAGGAATGACTTTGAATATTTGACAATACTTCCATACCAAAAACTGTCAAATGTCAATTTTATTCTACAGGTAAGAATTAACTGATGATTGAACAATATATATGTATATATAAAAGAAAGTCGTGTTAGTTACACTATTTATAAATAAAGAATGGCTAAATCGATTTAGATGAAAATTGGCGGGGAGGTAGCTTAGAACCAGGAGACGGACATAGGATACTTTTTACCCAATTCTTTTTTTTACTTTTTACCGAAAATCAAGAACGGGAACGGGAAATGTCGGGATTGCGCGTACGAAGTCGCTGGCAGAAGCTAGTTTACTATAAGTTAGTTAGGTAGAGTAGTTCTAGTTATCGAAATGACGCAATTCTCTATTTCATTTTGTGTTTTATTTTTAAATCAAGACTACCGAGTAAGACGTCTCTAGTTCGATTCTTACTCGAAAACTACCTAACTTCGATTTTTTTTTTGAGAATCCTGAGCCTTATTGTGTTATAACTTTAGTGAAACATACTAAATAAATTATCATGTTTTCGGCTTACTCACGTAATTATTTGACGAGGAACTCGACTTGTTTCAAGCCATGCTAGAGGCTCAAACTAAAATATTAATTAAGTCTATTTTTATACGATTGCCTCGTTGGCCGAGTGGTCGCAAGGACGACGGGTAAGAAATCTCGGGTTCGATTCCCGGGTTGGGCAAAGTATTACTTGGTTTTAAAAAAATCTCAGTGGTAGCACGGAGTCTGGAATTTTGCCTGGTATATGGCATTAAGCTCATCCCCTATTACATGGGACTCATAACATAAATAGTGAAAAGTGGGTGTTACATTGTACTACAGTGGCATAATGTGCACCTCTCCCTACCCCATCGGGGATAAAAGGCGTGATGTTATGTTATGTCTATTTTTTTGTTTTCGACATTCTTAGTAATATCGCAGATCCTAGATTTTTTGACAATAGACTAGAGTCGACCTCTGTTACATATAGACTAATTGTTACTTGCATTTAATATATGTATAGACCTCTACTCATCCCAACGAGGAATGAAAAGCGTGATGTTCTATAGTTTCATTTATAACCTATATGCTATATATATGTCCGTTTATTTAATAAAATTACTTTTATATAGTTTGTTATATTATGTGCAAAAAGTACAATCGTCTAATTCGAATTATGTATGGCCCATCATAAACTTTTTCACATTAATATACTCTTGGGACCAAATGAATGGAGCCATTAGCAGTTGTCCTTTTGGTCAGTTGCCCCCCGCGGTTAGCCGCTTTCCCAAATTAATATGCAACCGCTATACAACCACTGAACTGGCTAAGCTTTTCATCTTCTTCTCTAAAAATCTCATCAATTCTATCGGATCCAAGACAGTTGTCCATGTCCCTGGGACGTTGGACTTCAGTGTTCCGGTGTATGCATGGTTGTATCTGCTGTAGATCCTGTAGCTGTAGCCAAATGCCATTTAGCGCTTGTCTACATGTAGAATAGAAAACCAAATTATATGGAATTGACGTAAATTTTGGCACTTGTCAGTGTCATCCCCATACATTTTGATTTCTACTCTCTCTGTAGGCAAGCGCTAAAGTGGCGTTTGGCTAAAGGCACTGATGTACAAGAGTTGCAGCGGTTTCAGGAGGTTGTGGTGGGATTGTCCCATAAGTGGGCAACTACTATTGTGCATGAGGGCTTAATTATATACAATTTCAATGTGAGTCATCATTTGAATTTGTCGATTGTATTATTTGGTTTGTGTGTCGTAAGGGGTTGATGGTCGAGAATGCTGGTGGGTGACAGTAGCATAGTAGATTTGACTAACAATGATTGCATGGGGAGGCAAAGGTAATCGTCCTCAGGGCTATATCGCACGCAGCGGACTTGCGCGCACTGTATCGGCAGCGATCGGAATCCCGACGCGAGTATGCTGCTTTGACAAACAATGCGTGTTGGTAGGATGATCGTCAAAAGCAAATGGCTGATCCGTATGCCGTATGACGTCATTGGTACACATCGCATTACCGATGAGCCGTACGATGTGTGGACGCTGTTGTATGAGTTTTTATTCAAAGCAAACTGAAAGACGTTACGTACGATGCGTGCGATGCGGGGCTGTGGACGCTTACCAATAATGATCACTCTATTGTAATACCCGATTTCGCTGACCGCTCTTAACATTTCAGCTAATATAGGTGCCACTTAACGGCTTTTTACTTTTCAAGAACCTGTAAAGATAACGGTTAGTTTAACTGCTGATGTTAAGTAAGTCTTAGTAAAGAGATGGTTAGTGATATCGGGCATTAGTGTACAGGATCAGACTTTAAATATGGTATATCGATTGGAAAGAGACAATCGGCGAAGACGCCGTGTGTGCTGAGGGCTTTTCGTGTTTGGTTTACGTTCAAAGTAATCGAAACAATAAACCAATCGATCAAGAGTGCCAAGCACGAATAACTATCCCATTCGTAGCGTAATGCTATCCTGATTGGCTGGCACCAGTGAATCAGCCAATCACAGCGTCGAACGCGCTTAATACTCGTACGTTACGAATCTGACGTTGCGAGTACTTTAATAGGATGGTTCATTAGCTCTTGGGCTCCACGTCGAACAAATCACTTGCATCCATTGGCTCCCCACGACTCGGACGTGTTTCGATCCACCTAGTTGGAGGTTACACTATGTCTTCTGGCGTCGCCACCCGAGTCCTTTCCTGGCCCATCCACCGCCAGTCTTTCAAGCGATGAGCCGTCAAAACATCTTCAAAGTCAAAATCGTTTTCTCATCAGTTAGCGCTAGTGTGAAATTGCATCTCGTTATATGCTCAACAGGGATTTAGCTAGTATCAAACCATTGACTGTCTTTTACTATTTCACAGCTATTGTGATTAGACAAAGATACCTCTTCCTTCATTTGCGCTACGCAAGACAACGGTAGTCGCTATTAGACCAGGAAGGGACTTTTGAACGTTAAACAAAAAGTTTAAAAGTATTAGTCTGTCGGTCAGTCCTCTAATGAAGCTATATGCTCATTCCAAAGTTTAGATTCCTATGGAGAAGAACGAGCAAAAAACCCATTTTTTTAAATCGTTTCCCCACAATACGATTTTCTCGTGTCGTGGGTGCGTTTACATTTACAAACATACAAGTTCACATACACAATGACACCCAAACTCGAAACAACAATTTGTGGATCACACAAAGTGTTGTTTCGTGCGGGAATCGAACCGACACGTTGCACGGCAGCCGGTTGCCCAACCACCGCACCAACCGTGCAATAGGTTACTCTTTTTCAATCAAATCCACAACACGATTCCTGGTTTTTCATTACTGAGGATCTTGACTCCGGTTGCCTCAACAGCACATCTCCGGTCGCGGTCGCTGGCTCGGTGTAGTCCTTCACTGACTGGTTATTCAGCTGTTCAGATGTCTGATCCTACCATCTCTTTGGACTTTGGCATCTCGGTCTCTTACCCTCGACCTTCGGAGAACCTAACGGGTAACCGGGGCCCTGGCTCGACGTGCACGAGAAGGAACGGGGTGGTTTTTAGTCAGTAAGAGTCTGACACTCCCTCCCGCCTCACCCAGGCGGGAGCAGTCATTCGATGATTTTCCCCCCGGGTGCCAACTGGCGAATAAATTATTTTTCTTTCTTCTTTCTTTCTTTCAAAATCAGTGTTCAATTGCAAATGTAAACACGCATTTAATATAGATGGCAGCACATTTGTGCAACGCCACGTAGCGTATTGTTTCCCCGCAGTCATTCGATGATTTTCCCCTTAAAAAAATCCTCGACCTTCCTCGTCGCCATCAGTCGCCAGTCTGAGCCATAGGTGGCCAAAGTATCGTAGCATTCTTTGCAGATGGACCTGAGCTATTTCTGAGTGCCAAGCACTATCTATCTATATACTTTCGGCGCTCGGATTAATTGGTTTACTGCGATAATTATTCTTGCTTGGCACTTTGAAGGCTTGATGCGAGTTTGTTACAGCCTTTGGCGTCCTAATTGGCCTACTTCAATGAACCAACCAATCAGGGCTAATCGCGGTACCGTTTCGATCTCGGTTAACGTAAATCAAACTAGTATTAGGCCCTCTGGACAGGAATGGGATGACCGCATCATCGCTTACCACCAGGCGAGATAGTGGTCAAAAGTCAGCCCATCTATCAAATATATATATATAAAATTAGTGCGTATAAAATTAGTGACTGCCTCGTTGGCCGAGTGGTTGCAATTGCGACTGCCGGGCAAGGGGACTCGGGTTCGATTCCCGGGTCGGGCAAAGTATTACTGGGTTTTTTTAATAATTCTCAGTAGTAGCACGGAGTCTGGAATTGTGCCCGGTATATGGCAATAGGCTCACCCCCTATTACATGGGACTCGTAACATAAATAGTGAAAAGTGGGTGTTACATTGTACAGTAGTATGATGTGCACCTCGGATAAAAGACGTGATGTTATGTAAAATTAGTGCGATGTGCGGTTAAAATATAATAGTATTTAATATAAAAACTAGGTTTGTGGTGCCACCTCGCTGGCCGAATAAGGCACAACTTGAGAAAAGAGCTCAGAGGCTTGAGGAGGAGCGTAAAACAGAAGCTTCTAGCTCCAAAGAAGGCCCCACCAAAGAAGAGAGGCAGTACGAGGATGGTTTCCCAAAAGACCTTGATGATGGTCTCTCCAAGGACTGTAAGGGACCACAGTTCACTTTCTCCGCGGCAATTTGGAGGGATTTACAGAAGACTTGCGAGAATTTGACCACGCTGTTCATAGAGTATTGTAACATCGATTATCGGACGGTGAGTGTTTTTTTATAATTATTTACATATATATAAAGACTAGCGGACCCAACAGACGTTGTCCTGCATATCCACTTGAATGCTGTTTAGGATAAATAACCTAAACACCGGCTGCAGCGCCATCTGCCGGGCTGATTTTTGAATCTAAACCATTCTCAGATCCCCTTGAACATACACAAAAAAATTCATCTAAATCGGTCCAGTCTTTTGAGAGAAGTTCAGTGACATACACACTCACAGAAGAAATATATATATAAAGATTATACAATAGACTCACCCCCTATTAATCTGTCAAACACCAAGCGGTCACCGGTGACCGCGACCTATTGTTCTTTAATTATGTCTATAAAACCGGTACTCGACGAGTTAAATGGGACTCACAACATAAATAGTGAAAAGTGGGTGTTACGTTGTACAGTGGCATTAAGTGCCGTATTGTGCACCTCTGCCTAACCCTTCGGAGATAAAAGACGTAATGTTATTTTATGTTATTTACATATATTTATTTCAAATTCTCTTCAAATTACATTTTTAAATACTACTTACAAAATAAAAAAATATTATTTAAAAATATAAAAAATAGGAGTCGACCAGTAGCGGGAGCATGGTCCAAGCTACCGGTGGTTAGGGCTCCAGAGACAGAAACCTCCTCACGATACGTGCCGTTTCTAGGAGAACTGCCTTCTGTATCAGGCCCTTGATCCATCCACCTAACGCCAGCCTCCTGAGTTAGATGTCGAGGCTTTTAGGGATTAAGCCACTACGGCCGACGCGACTATCGGCACAATTATAGCCGAAACCACATTCCACATGTAGACAACGTCGTGAGCTAAGTCTAGATTTTTTTATGACATAAGCCGGTAATCGATCAGACGGATCACCTGATGGTATGCAATCGGCGTCGCACATGGACACCGTAATCGTACACAGTCATATTGGTACTTGCCGTTCGTAGGTTTCGAACCCTCATGCACGAGAAGCGGGCGTCTTAAACCTGGCCATCACGATACTATAAATTATGGATGGTCCCTTACTATGTGTGTATTTTCGCAGACAAATGTCCGGCTGTTCCCCAAAAAGCTGAAGAAGTTGTCGATGCGTGGCACTCGGTGCTACAACTTACCTCTCAATGTTTCGTACCTGGCTAAAGTCCACGAAGTCCTGCCTGATCTAGAGGTTGGTGAAACTGTCTACTGTCTTTCTTTATTATAAATCTTCCGTCACAAACTCCCAAAACCGCTGCAACTCCTGTAAGCCAGGATCTACTATACATACAAGATGTTTTTTTATGGTATAAGCCGGTAAACGAGCCGAGAACGAGGATCACCTGATGGTAAGCAATCGGTGCCGCCTATAGACACCTGAAATACCAGAGGCGTTACAAGTGCGTTACCGGCCTTTTGGAAATTGGGAATTTTACTGTAGATATAGGATGATTTTTTATGGTATAAGTCGATAAACAAGCCGAGAACGAGAATCACCTGATGGTAAGCAATCGGTGCCAATAGACACCTGAAATACCAGAGGCATTACAAGTGCGTTACCGACCTTTTGGAAATTTGGAATTTTATGATTGTGGGAGATTCGGGGATTGGGGAGACTAGGGCTATGGGCATCCGATAACCTCACTCACACAAAGAAAAGTGTGGTTTCACGTCGGTTTTCTGCTCGGCCGCGGTATCACTCCAGTCGAGACGGTCCATTGGAACACCAGAGGCGTTCAAAATGCGTTACCGGCCTTTTGCGACTAGCGATTTAAGGATTGCTAGGGATTTATGGATTGGGAAAGGCGGGAGGGGTAATTACGCCTCCGTTTTTCTTTCTTTCATGGACTGATGATAATGGTGATGTGTCTGCAGTATCTGGACGTGTCGGAGTGCGATTGGTTCGAGCCCGCCTCGCTGATGACTATAAGCAAGCTCGCCAACCTGACTGAGGTCTACATGAGGGACTGCAAGCGATTAACGGAGTGCGTCGCCTACGCTTCGCTCTCGACACGATACGGATTCCGAAAGTTACGGGTGAGTCTACATTATTTGTTATTTTCTAGTTCGGTTTCGACCGTTCTGTACGGCTCCTATTACAAGTATGTTTAGTCTGTATTAACATCACTAATTAGTAAGTAATTGCCCCCTCACTATAATGTGTTATACACCGTTAAATTTGAATCGTTTTAATCCCTTGGAGGTTCGAACTGGTCCATGAAACACTATCGATTTGTAAAGATAAAATTAAAAAATAAAGTACTTTTTTTTAATAACTCGAATCAATTCTCGCATGAGTGAATAAATAATGCGAACCGTTAGTACAGTTATGTCGGTCCTAAGCCCGTAAAAGTATGAAGGAATATTTGGAATCAATTTATTTGTTTACCTACGCAAACATCAGTTGATCGAATCAATAACCTTATGCTTGATCGGGCCATGTAGGTACCTACACTGCCCGATACGCAACGACCGACGACGACGTAGGTAACTATCTCGTGGCGCAACTTTTGGTTTCATACATTTTGCGAGTATAATCTTATCATTTGCTAATTTATTTATTTTTTATGTTACACCGCAGTACAAGCTTGTAATGAGTAGTATTCTGTTAGTTAAACCACAGGTCCATGGGATTAAAAACGACTAAAATTTAACGGTGTATAAGGTAGGACACTCGTCATTACCGCCGCTGTCTACCTGTCATAGTCTAGTGTGTGTACACGTCGTGCGCTCTGCACATTATTGTAATAAATCCAAGTATAATAAATCCGACTATAATTTGGTAATCCACCAACATAACAGCTGCTATTGATGCTCGATCCCCTGCTGTTCGAGGGTGCTCGACTAATTTAAGTCAAAGTCAATGTCAAAATCATTTATTTCAAGTAGACCAGGAAGGCACTTTTGAACGTCAACAACAAAAATTTAGAAGTGAAGTTAGTTGCTCATTCCAAGGTGTAGATTCCTATGGAGAAGAACGAGCAAGAAACTCCATAGGTTACTCTTTTTTAATCGGGTTTGCAATACAATTATCTAGTAACATAGTTGTGTTGGTTCGATTGTAGAGAGCAATGCAACACCTAAATCCAGACGAGGAGATTGAAAAAGAAAAAGAAAGAAGAAAAAAACTACAATCGGGGTTCATTATCATAAATAGTATGCCGGATATTGGTCTTTATTTTATTTAACAACTAAATAGTTACTCCGGCGCGGATTTACCCGCATTACTCAGCTCCTATTGCTCATATCGTGATGTTTTATAGCCTATAGCCTTCCTCAACAAATGGGCTATCCAACACAAAAAGAATCATTTACATTGGATCAGTAGTTCCTGAGATTGGCGCGTTCAAATACACAAACTCTTCAGCTTTGTACCGGGTGCATGCATTGTGTGCCATATTGAAATGGTCGACATTAGGGGTCATCTGCTACCCCTTCATGCCTTGTGGACTTTTCTATCGGCCTTTCATTTGTTATATCATAAGCACTATCATAGTGGATATCTAGTGTAAATATCATTAGTTACATATACTCATTAGTTTATCCTTAAGATCCTTAATTTTGAATAAATATTATTAGTTCATAAGCATCTTTAGGAGCCTTCATTTGTTTTAATATGATTAGATGACAAACATACTTTGTACCCATTAACATCACTACATAGTATAAAACAAAGTCGCTTTCTCAGTCCCTATGTCCCTTTGTATGCTTAAATCTTTGAAACTACGCATCGGATTTTGATACGGTTTTTTTAATAGATAGAGTGATTCTTAAGGAAGGTTTATATGTATAATATATGCATAATATAGTAGAGAAACACTGATAAATTTAGAGGTTTCTAATGTGATGTCGTAAATCAACTCGTTTTTTTTGCGCTTATATTGCAAATGCTGGCTGTACCCTACGAGATAGACCAAAATAATGTACTACAGTATTGACCACCTTAAAAAGTTCAACAAAAAGGTCCACGATGGTATATGTCGATCTATTAGGGATAACCCACCATAACAATTTTTTATCCTTTACTATAAATGGTTATTTACGAAGTCATTTTAAACAATACAGCATTAATCCTTATCCAATTAAGTACTTTAAATAAATTGTGCATTTATCATAGATCAATATGCTTTTTACAGCATGTAATTTAAGTGAATATTTCCGAAGATATTACAAATTTAAAATGCAGGGACGTATTTGTTGCGGCGTTGATGGCCGCGCTTCGTCCTAGAGCACTTCATGACTTGCAACGATCGCACATGTTTATCGGGACTCTCTAGCGAGGAAAATATCAATATAAAACATGTTTGTATTGTCTAATGACAAAATAACTGTGAACGTGGTGTTTTTACATAAGTATTGCACCTGTGCGAAGCCGGGGCGGCTCGCTAGTAAATACTATACTATTAATGAATACATAATCATCTTTAGTGTTTTTTCTTAGATCTTAAGCAATTAACTTAATTTTTTTTCTATCCGTGTTAATTGGCATGTAAACTTCACATATGCGATATAGGATTTTGTTACGTCATCCGTTGATTTGTTTCATTGATAGTCTGTGTGCGTGAACTGTCATTCGACAGGTGTCGCCACAACTTATTAAATCTTAGGAGACCGAGGGCATTTGAAACAAAGGTGATTTGAAACAGTACAGATTTCTTGGAACTCAAAACCGTTAGCGAGCTGGCAACGTCGCTTTACACCAACTTCCCTTCTCCCGCGAACATGTCAGTGCGCGTCCGTCGCGTCAGTCGCGCGGTTGTGGAGTTTTGTGTGCTAAGTGACAAAAATCGTGAAAAGTAAGTTTTTAACGTATTTTTACGATGCCTATATTTTGTTAAGGGTTTTGTATTTTGGTTTAAGTTATATATGTTTCGAAAGCTCATTAAGTAATGATTTGTTATATATATTTAGTACAATTGATTTCTGTGTATTTTCTTCTTAATCATAGATTTTATAAAACTTGGGAGGTTTTTTCTTACTGAGGAGATTTGAAACAGGCTGTTTCAACTCTCCTCGTTTTCAATTTTATATGAATTTTATTTTTGTTGTTTTAATTAGGTAATTTTGTTTCAGCATGCCTACTGATTATAAACGAAAGACTGATAGGGGTATGGCGAGTCGCGAAATATATGATCTCGCAGCAGAAGAAGTAACCTTGCGACATAAAAGTCTCCGTGACGCGGCTTCGAGTTATAATCTGAACCATACCTCCCTCTTCAGATATATTAAGAAAAAAACTGCTTATGAAGCTAACGAAACTGCGAATGCGCCAACGGTTGGATACCCAGAAAAGACTGTTTTTACAGCTTCAGAAGAAAAAGTACTGTGTGACTATCTTTTAAACTGTGCTGCTGCTAACTTTGGCCTAAGAACTAAGGAAGCCAGAACTTTTGCCTATAGCTTGGCTGTTAAATATAATAAAAAAATTCCTTCTTCTTGGACTGAGCATGAAATGGCTGGAGAGGTTTGGCTTCGATCTTTTATGAAGCGTCACCCGGTTCTTTCTCTAAGACTACCTCAACCTACAAGTATCGCTCGAGCTACAAGTTTTAATAGAACCAACGTGCAACTTTTTTTCCAAAATTATACCTCAGTAGTTGACAAATACAAGTTGCAAGCAAAGGATATATGGAACGTTGACGAATCGGGCATCACGACTGTTCAGAAACCGGACCGCGTCATTGCTCGACGAGGACAGAAACAAGTGAGTGCCATGACTTCCGCAGAGAGAGGAACATTAGTTACTATAGCACTAGCAGGAAATGCCCTTGGGAACCACATACCTCCAATGTTTATCTTTCCGCGAAAAAGATTTAATGATCACTTTATACGTGATGGATCAATTGGTACTGCGAATGGGTCAGGGTGGATGCAAGAAAAAGACTTCTATATATTTCTTACATTTTTCAAAGACCAAGTTAGGCCATCTAAAGAAAATAAGGTCCTATTGTTATTAGATAACCACGCATCACACACTGCTGTTAAAAATATTGAGTTCTGCAAGGAAAATGGCATTATTCTATTAACTTTTCCACCTCACTGCACCCATAAGTTGCAGCCAATGGACAGAGCCGTTTTTGGACCGGTGAAAAAAGCAGTTAACACAGCTTGTGATGATTGGATGCGGTCTAATCCAGGAAAAGTAATGACCATCTATGATATTCCTGGGATAGTAAAAACTTCGTTTGATACAGCCGTCACACCGCGCAATATATCTTCCGGATTCATCCATACCGGACTTTGGCCAGTTAACACTAATATATTCCAGGACGCTGATTATCTTCCCAGTCAGGTTACTGATCGACCTTTGGCAACTTCCATTAGTCCTGGTCCATCCAGCTCTAACTTGGTCGGCATTTCAAGAAGTGAAGAACCCGTGCCATGTTCTACCCTTGCAGACAGTATTTTACACGATTCTCGTACACCAAGTCCATCAATCTTAAATTTACCGACTACTCCTCCTCTATCCAGCTACGATACAGAAGACGTACCTAAGCCTGCAGAAAACCCTCGTAAGAATTCACCTGATCTGGCGATATCTGAACCCGTTGTTCCCTCCACAGTTTTTACATCTGATGTAATACCTGTAGCATCAACATCACGAGACACTTCAGTTACTATGACAGAAATTCCATTCTCACCTGACACTCTTCGACCCTTGCCAAAGGCTCCACCCAGGAAAGGAAATCAAACAAATAGACGCAAAGTGAAATCTGCTATCTTAACCGACACTCCCGTAAAGGATGAACTAGCTGCTATCGAAGCAGTTAGAATGGCTAAGAAAAAAGTGAAAAAACCTAACTTTGAAGAAACCAAAAAAAGGAGTTCAAAACCAAATACTAAAACTAAGAAGACCAAGGTTGGCAAGAAACAAAGAAGAAATGAAGACAGTGAAGAAGAAGAGGAATGTATTTGCCTTTGTTGTTTTGAGCCTTATTCTAATAGCAAAGCCAAAGAAAAATGGGTGCAATGTCTGGAGTGCAAAAACTGGGCTCATGAAGCTTGCACTGGTGGAACTTTCTTATGTTTTGCCAAACTGCTTGTCAGATTGATATTATTTAGTTTCATAATATTTTTATTCTCATTTGTGTGATCGTTGTATTGTTATTTAAATATTCCAAGAAATACTGATTAATCAAGACTGATTGTAATAGTTAAGGAACGACTGAAAGTTAATAAGTATTTTATGTTCAAGGCTTATAACTTATATTAATATATAGGTAATGTTATATAAGAATGTACAACATTTTTGTTTATCTGGTCATTATGTTGATTGATGGTCATTGTGATAGGTATTTTAAATACTTTAGGAGTTGATTATTCGTAGACTTGTAGTTACCTCCTTAACTGAAAATTATATCAGTATAAAATATTGATAAAAAAAATTGTTTCTTAATTGAAAAGTTTTATTACAAAAACCATATATTATCTTCACTTTTAATTATATCCCTCAACACTTCTTCAAAATAATATGTTTCAACTCTCCTCGACCCCTGTTTCATCTTACCTCGATATGAGGGGAGTTGAAACAAATTGACTTGTTACGGTTAAGTCGATTTTTCACCGCAATATTTATCACTTAACATTTATTTATGTTAATCATTCGCAAGTGTATAGAATAACCTATCGATTGGTACTAGTATCATATGATTTCTGTCTACAGTGTTTGGTGTATGAAACAAAATGTCAAAATTGTTTCAAATGCCCTCGGTCTCCCCTACTCTTATACTATTACCTCTATATAAAGCGGAAGAGTTTGTTTCTTTGTTTGTTTGTTTGAACGCGCTAATCTCCGTAACTACAAGTCTGATTTGAATAATTCTTTTTGTGTTAGATAGTGCATTTATCGAGGATGGCTATAGGCTATAAAACATCACGCTACGACCAATAGAAACTGAGCAGAGAATATGAAACCGCGCGGAAGTAGCTATACTATTATATAAAGCGGAAGAGTTTGTTTTTTTGTTTGTTTGTTTGAACGCGCTAATCTCCGTAACTACAAGTCTGATTTGAATAATTCTTTTTGTGTTAGATAGCGCATTTATCGAGGATGGCTATAGGCTATAAAACATCACGCTACGACCAATAGGATCTGAGCAGACCATATGAAACTGCGAGGAAGTACCTAGTTAATAATAGATCTATTTATTTCGTCCCAGGTATTCGACTCCCGTGGTTCGCCGCTAGCAGACTCCGAGATATCGTTGCTGGGTTGGTTACCAGAGCTCGAGGAACTCTACTGCTCGCCCCCAGACGTGTTGAACACCCTGTCTGAACATACCCACTCCTGGCAAGAGTCTGAAACTGTGTTCCCCGAACTCGACAAATGGGAGATTGACGTAAGTTTTTTAACCGACTTCAAAAATGGAGGGTGTCTGTGTGACCTCTATGTATTGTATGTATGTATTTTTAAGTAAAACTCAATACTTTAATACTGAAAAAGTTTATTCTTAACCAGATAATTTTATAACATAATTACAACAATATAGACTAACAGTATTATATCTACCAAATCGTCTACATATCACTAAATACACAATTAAAATATTACATTATAACTAAAATTAGGAACAATAACGAGATCAAATACAGTTAAATAACATAACATAACATCACGCCTTTTATCCCCGAAGGGGTGGACAGAGGTGTACATTATGCCACTGTACAATGTAACACCCACTTTTCACTATTTATGTTATAAATCCCATGTAAAAGGGGGTGAGACTATAGCCATATACCGGGCACAATTCCAGACTCCTTGCTACTACTGAGAATTTATAAAAAAACCCAGTAATACTTTGCCCGACCCGGGAATCGAACCCGAGACCCCTTGCCCGGCAGTCGCACTTGCGACCACTCGGCCAATGAGACATAATTTTATAAGAAACATCGTAATGCTTAATTATTATGTTTAACGCGCCCTCTGCCGTGGTACTCCTTGACGAAATCCTTACTAATATTATAAATCGGAAAGTGAGTTTGTTTGTTTGTTTGTTTGTTTGTTCCGCTTTGACGCCGTAACTACTAAACCGATTGCTTTGAATTTTTGCAGACGTAAAGTTAGAAGTCCGGATTAAATAATAGGGTACTTTTTATCCCGGATAAATTTGATATTCCCGAGGGAAAACAAAAGTATTGGTATAGATGGCGCTGTATGTATTGGTATATGTCACATAGGCTACTTTTTATTCTTTTGTGACGCGAGCGAAGCCGCGGGTAAAAGCTAGTTATTAATATAGATGTTTTCTCCACCCAGGAGCCGGAGTATTACAGGGCGAAGTCTCCGAGGGTGGCGGAGGAAGATGAGCGCGACTCCATCGACACATCGGAGCGCGTCAGCGAAGTCGTCAGTGGAAACTCCTTTTGGTCCAATGAGAGACGGTGAGTCATTATTGTGAATATGAGGCAAACGAGCAGACGGATCACCTGATGGTAAGCGATCAGCGCCGCCCATGGACACCCGCAACACCAGAGGAGTCACAGGTGCGTTGCCGGCCTTTTAAACCGAGCGTCCGCGTTCCTTATGATCCAACGGGTGCACACGTGACATTTGGAGAAAGAAAGAAATAAAGAAAGAAAATGCACTTATTTGGCCATTGGCACACGAAAACAAGGATCATTACAATAGAAATAAAAAATACAATCAAAATAAAAACAAAACATTAATAATAGATTTTATAAAAGAGAAAGCAGCATGGAGCATTTTTTCTTATGATCCACCGGGTGCTCGTAAGGACGCTCGAGGGGTTAACAAGGAATACGCTCTTTTCTTGAAGGTACTGCCTTCTGCCCGCAATCTCTCCCGTGTTCCCGTGATATATAAAGCAGCTATAGGGAACAGAGAGTATAGTTCCCTAAGATCGGAAAAGGAGGATCCTCCGACCAGGCGAGGTGATCGTGCCTGGCGGGCTTTCTGCCCAACAGTTGTTCGTTGAGATTTTCTATCTAACTTTGTTGAGCAATGCTCTTAAATATATTATTAATTAGTTTAACTTTAGCCATGATCGTCCCACTGTCGGTCAAAGGCCTCCCTACCCTCCTTCCAATCGTCTCTTAAAGCTTTCTGTGGCCACTACTTTTCATAGGCGTCAAGTTCATTCCGCCATCTCCTTCTGGGCCTACCGCGACTAAATACTATTCTTAAATATACAATATAATGTTTTTCTTTTTCTGACAGTGTCATAGTAATCCAACCGAACACGGCGCGACTAATCAACGGTCAATTCGGGAATCCGCGCGAGCGACGCGAAGAACCTCAACCGGGCCCTGCTCAACCGGGCCCTGCTCAGCCGGACCCTGCTCAACCGGGCCCAGCTCAACCAGGTCCCTCACCTCAAGCGGGCCCATCACAAGCGGGCCCGTCTCAACCGGGCCCCTCGGACCAACCAGAAGCGGGTCCATCGAAACGTCGAGCTGAACCGGATGAACCAAATGATGGTAAACGACCTCGTATGGGAGAGAATGAAGATGACAACGTGGATGACGATGATGATGACCAGATTATACAGAACTCGAAATTTAGGTGTGTTAACTTTGAGAATAGGCCTTTTGAGTGTGCGCTCGATGACCGTGATCGACTGTCAGCGGAACTAGGGTACAATGAAGACACGGCTTCGAGGACGAGTATAGGATATCACCTTGTCTCAGACACAGCGATAGAACGCTTCGGTAGAGCGGCGAATGAAAATATTAACTATATCCATCTAGGCAGGTTTAGGGGCAACCCAAATGAAATCCCACCTTTCGATTATAGACCTGATAGGGCTAATTTGAGGATCTTATCAGCGACTGGTTATAGGCATATTACTAATAGGAGTTTGGAGCATTTAGCGACCGCAGCGCCGCATTTACTTCACGTAGATTTTACTGATACAGCTGTCACTGCTAATGGTGTCGAAATTTTTAAGGCTATAAGACCAAATTGTGAGGTTATTTTCGGACCTCTCGACAGCCAGAATAATTAAGTTTTTGTTTAAAGGTTTTATGTAGGAGTACTCGAACGTTACTCAATTTTTAATTCGCGCTTAAACTGTCAAACACCAAGCGGTCACCGATGACCGCAACCTATTGTTCTTTAATTGTGTCTATAAATACGGTTATATTTGCTATTTATACTCAACTAGCTTTTACCCGCGGCTTCGCTTGCGTCACAAAAGGATAAAAAGTAGCCTATGTGACATTTACCAATACACACAGCGCCATCTATACCAATATTTTTGTTTTCCCTCGGTAATATCAAATTTTTCCGGGTTAAAAACTACCCTATTATTTAATCCGGACTTCTAACGTTACGTCTGCAAAAATTCAAAGTAATCGGTTGAGTAGTTACGGCGTGAAGGTGGAACAAACAAACAAACAAACTCACTTTCCGATTTATAATATTAGTAAGGATTATATCAAGCAGTTCATGATCCATTGAACGGATATGCTGAACCACATACTATTAGAGACAGAACTATACTTAAGTAACTGTACTTATACTTTGTAAAATGACAGATGGTGCGATATTTAAGCATGACTTAAAATTGAGTAGCGTTTCAGTATTCCGGCATTAGTGTGAGTTTACGTTTGACGAGACTGCGTTCAGAGCTATGATTGCTTAGTTCATTAGGCAATCGGGGCCGTTCAAATATTATGTAAGCAGATTTTTACAATTATCCCCCTCCCCCCTTATCAGCAAAAGTAAGCAAAGACCTTACCCCCTCCCCCTTTGCTTACGTAAACATTTTAAATGATATCTTTTTTATATTGTAATTTGAATATTCTCCAAATACCATAATGTCTCGTTTTTTTGTCGGTCTTTGCTATTAATTTATTCTCTCAATATGAGGGTTGCCATTCGTGTAAATAAGTAAATAACTACCGATGACGTAATCATCATCTGGACTCCCTTACCCCCCGTATCATGTCGCGGAGAACCTAACGGGTAACCGGGGCTCCGGCTCGACGTGCAGGAGAAGGAACGGGGTGGTTTTTAGTCAGTAAGAGTCTGACACTCCCTTCCGCCTCACCCAGGCGGGAGCAGTCATTCGATGATTTTCCCCCCTATCATCCGAAATAAGCAACACAGAGACCCCCCACCCCCCATGGTGCTTACGTAATACTTGAACGGCCCCTAACTTGAACGCGTTCGGCACTCTGATTGGTTGCTTCATTGGCGCCGGCCAATCACAGTGCCGAACGGGTACTCGTTTACAATACTTTAAACGTAAATCAAATTTGTACTAAAGTAACGTGGTCTCATTTCGATTTCGATAAACGTTCATCTCGCTATTAAGTTAACACGTATGTTAGTGTCTTTGGTCGAGTACCGGGTTTAGTATAGATTAAAAAAAACGGGTTTTTTTCAAAAAAACCCCCTTAGAATTGGGTATTTTCGTGTATTTATTGAAAAGTCTGCTTTAAGTATGTAGTGTAAAGGTGGCTAATTGATTGAAAGGGATTTTGAGAAATTTTTTGATTATTACTGTCAAATAGGTACCGCGAGGACACTGGTGACAGCAACCTATTGTTCTTTAACATAGCATAACATAACATCACGCCTTTTTATCCCCGAAGGGGAAGGCAGAGGTGCACACAGAAGTAACACCCACTTTTCACTATTTATGTTATGAGTCCCATGTAATAGGGGGTGAGCATATTGCCATATACCGGGCACATTTCCAGACTCCGTGCTACTACTGTGTTTTTTTTTTAAAACCCAGTAATACTTTGCCCGACCCGGGAATCGAACCAGAGACCCCTTGCTCGGCAGTCGCACTTGCGACCACTCGGCCAACGAGGCAGTTCTTTAATTGTGTCTATAATGACGGTACACAAAGGGTTAATGTATGTTCTGGTTAGTGTTCATGGGACGATGACGGTATAACAATGGGCTCTGGATGGCGCAAATGTAGCAAGAGTTTTCGTCCAATCACTGCAGCTGTCAAATTTTGAACACCCAATGGCGTTAAATAAGTAAAATCGCGGGTTACTCACGTGAATATACTGAGAAAAGCTCTACTAGTGAGCTGCGCGACGTGTCGCCGCGACCGCGAACGCTACTCATAAGGAAGAACCCCTCTGTGGTTCGAAACTAGTAGAGCTTTTCTCAGTATATTCACGTGAGTAACCCGCGATTTTACTTAATTTAGTATATCTCATGATAGTTATTATAAAAACACCCCATAGCGTGACACTAGCTGATTCCCTATTGGACGAAGAACGAGAAGTTGATATTAACGCCATCTAGCGAGAAAAAGTACGATAGGCCCCATTGGCGTTCCAAAATCTCTGCCTATCCATTGGAGACAGGCGTGAGGTTATGTATGTATGTATGTTTGTATGTATAATGAAATGAAATAATATTTATTTTTGAAAATACGTTACGTAGTAACACTTAGGTACACGCCAATCTTTAAATTACTAGATGGGGGTCGGCATGGATTGCCTCGTTTGGTCGCAAATGCGATTCCCGGCCAAGGGATCTCGGGTTCAATTCCCGGGTCGGGTAACTTACTACTGGGTTTTTAAATTCTCAGTAGTAGCACGGAGTCTGGAATTGTGCCCAGTTTATGGCAATAGACTCACCCCCTATTACATGGGACTCGTAACATGAATAGTGAAAAGTTGGTGTTACATTGTACAGTGGCATTAAGTGCCGTAATGTGCACCTCTGCCTACCCTTCCGGGGATAGAAGACGTAAAGTTATGTATGTTATGAATAAATATTTAATCCCATTACAAATCAGTCGTCGTCCCAATATATAAAAAAATTAATAATTTTATATAAATGATCTCGCAATTGTAATATTTAATACAATGTACTGATTGGACATTATTTTTTCAAAAAATTCGTCATATTTTTTCTAATTTTTGTATCCATACCATATAGGTTTACATTATTAATGATTTTTGAATAAAAATATTTATTTCTCGATTAATTACAATGCATGTATTATTCTTCTTCTTACGGTGCCACTTCATTCATGAAGGTCGGCCGTCAACCTTTTGAATTGATCCTTGTCATTCATCATCATCATCAACAGCCTATAACTGGTTTTGAGCATTAATCACCACGCTTACTCAATGCGGGTTGGCGATTTCAAACTTATAATTAGAAATTATAAGTCCAGGTTTCCTTACGATATTTTCCTTCACCGTTTGTCAGTGGTGTCTAAATAATCTTAGAAAGTACATATAACTCGAAAAAAGTCACATTGGTACTTGCCGTTGTTAGCCTGTTAGGTTTCGAACCTGCACCCTCATGCATGAGAAGCGGGTGTCTTAAACATCCGGGCCACCACGACACATTGTCCTTGTCATTTGCCAGACGGTAAAGTTGTTCCACAGAGCTGATACCAGTCCACTCCCGTATATTGCGCCCCCACGACTTTATCCTAATGTATTATAATTTGTAATATTCCTTTCCTTCCTAGTCGTCTTCTTCATTACTGAAGGTCGTGTCTAGTCTGGTGCACGCGTCACTTGATGCACAACCCTCCTCCAAACGCCCCTGTCCTCTGCGGTCTTTATGGCTTGTGGAACTGTCAGGCCGGTTAGGTTTTTTACAGTATCCAACCACCGGGTAGGTGAGCGACCGCGAGGTCTTTTCCCGTTAACCCGACCAACAACCACAAGCTTCTCCAGATTGTTGGGGTCTCTACGCGCAATGTGGCCAAAATAAGTTAATATTCGCTGCAGGCATACAGTGGACAGCCTCGTAGTAATTCCGATCTCCTTGAGAATGGAAATTTGTAATATTATGATCGGCATAATAAAAATTGTGCCTTGACCGTGGCGTGATGGTGGCGATAAAAAAATATTTTAACCGCTTGAATGCATATATGAGACACAATAGAAACTATATTGTCCCTCGCGTGGTCCTCGCGCGCTCCTCTATAAATTAACTAAAATCGCGGATTACTCACGTGAATATTCTGAGCAAGTACTCAAAATATACTCAGTGAGCTTCGCGACGTCGCCGCGACCGCGCACGCTGCTCATAAGGAAGAACCCCTCTGTGGTTCGAAACTAGTAGAGCTTTTCTGTAAAACGCAGACAAAAATATATTTTTGACAATTTTAATAATTGTGTACTTGCCAACTAGTCAAATTCAATACTTTTTATGAACTGTCAAAAACGAGAGTTTTCTATAAATTTTGTACGAGATTGTGTATTGTGACGTCACGTTTTTTTAGTGTCAAACAGCGAAGTTATTTCTTAAAAATTTGTTAAAAAAAATACTCAAATGAAGTTGGTCATAAAATCAATTAATGTAAGCGTGATTATTTTTTAATACTTTATTGTATTTCAATACAACTGACTGTTACACTGTTAATTATTTAGACTGTTCACAGTCTAAATAATTTATTTTTGAAGCCTCTGTTCAGCAAATAAAGACATTTGATTTGATTTGATATGATTTCATTTGATTTGATTTGATGAAGGAAAGTACCCAATTTTCTGTTTTTGTGTTATTCATACAACATCAGCCTTGAGCAGTTGATTCCAACTATTGTTACATAAAAGAAACATTTAATTAACTAAAATCGCGGGTTACGACGTCGCGCAGCTCACCGAGTGAGTTGCGCGACGTCGCCACGACCGCGCACGCTGCTCATGAGGACGAACCCCTCTGTGGTTCGAAACTAGTAGAGCTTTGCTCAATATATTCACGTGAGTAACCCGCAGTTTTAGTTAATTTAGTATGTCTCACGATAGTTATTATAAAGACCCTCTGTAAACTTAAATATATAGTATGTTTCCAGCAAATGTTTAAGAAATAAGTATTCTGTTTGACGCTAAAAAAAACGTGACGTCACAATACACAAATCTCGTTCAAAATTCATAGAAAACTCATCGTTTTTGACAGTTCGTAAAAAAGTATTGAAATTGATTAGTTGGCAAGTACACAATTATCAATAACTGCGACAGTCCACTGCGACTGAGTCTCCTCTACATAAGAGGGTTTGTCATAATCTCC